GGAATTAAGCGATCGCGAACCGAGCCTCACGTTGAGGTCCCGTAACATTAGGAACCTTTTCCCTTTTGCCCTTCGTTGGAAACGCGTTTCATATTCGATCGTAATGTCACGATGTAACGAATTAGTTACTCAATGTTAAAATAAAAAAAATTATACGAAAAGATCGATTAAAAAATTTGATTTTAATACTTGAATAGTAATATGATTATGATGTGAATTTCTACGGAATGTAAAACTGCTGAAAACATGATTCGAAAGCGTTAACGCACGAGTTCACTGAACACGAGTTTCTTTAATTAGAACGTGCAACAAGCAAAGATTCCGAATACCCTCGGTATCGAAGTGAACCGGTAACCGGCACATTTCGGTGCTTAGCGTTTGTTCGACTTAACGCTGAATTCGAGTCTCACCAGATTCCGGTATGCGATTTGCGTCACGCTCCAGAAGGTGTGTGCGACTGTAACAAACGGCGAAGAAAAGTAAACTAATCCTCGTTGCGCAACGCGCGGAGGGAAACGGTTCCCTCCACGAACCGTTCGATCGCGAAATTTTATAACTTTCATGAAATCGTTTCACTGGGCAGCACACCGTGTCACAATTGTACTACTATATATATCTATGGCAATCACTTAAATATTTGCTAAAATATCCAAACACATTCATGCACATTAACGCAGAAAACAGTTACGAAAGGGAGGGTGATTGAAATTACAATTTGCTCGTGCTATATATATTTCAATAAGCTTTTAGTGAGCATGTTTCGAATCGTTGAACGATTGGAAACATCAAACGATAAATCATGGCGAATGTAATGACCGATTAAGCGTCTTTCGGTGAATGAAAATGTTTCGTGTCACGCGATCAGCTTTGAATCACACACAACTTTTCCGGTTGCCTGCAATAATGGCGGGACGAGTCTAAGGGTGTTAAGCTGGATTTCCATTATACTGAAGCGAGCGCCACCCTGTAGACCATTTTCGTATTCTTTTCAGACGACTTGATTTTCGTGTACGATCTTCTTTATCTCTTCCTCATTGGCTTTCTAATATCGAGTGGCTGAATTTCACCGTGAAATAAGACGGTAGAGATGACTGTTTACATATGTTCGTTTTTAACCGTTGAGGCGTTAGTAGGTCCGCCATGTTTGCTTTTCTGAACAGAATATTTGCCCATGGTGTGTCACATTACCCCGTATGTGAGGTTAAGGATCTACTTGTATCGTTCCGTTGACATAGAAACAACAGTGTTGACAAACGAAAAGAATCCTGTCTATCTTAACGTGGTTATGTGTTTAATGATTTAAAGTAAAGATTTAATAAAGATTAAATAAAGATTTAAGTAAAAAATATGAAATTATGATTTGTTTACAGATTATTGATCTGTTTCCAATGTGTATCAATGGAATGTACAGTTGTGAATTGAGAGAATGCTTGTATTTTCATGAAACCTATTAAATCCGCGTCGAAGTGAAACGTAACTCGCGCGGATTGCCATTTTCTCCGGCTAGACTGTCGATAAATCCAACGACCGTGGAATTATTGCGTTTCACCGTTAATTCGTTGCGTTCAATCCGCTTCCATTGAGAACTCCGCTTTCATTATGGCTGCGAGACGCCTGGTAAATGACACGGGAATAATGCGCGTTGCTTCGATCGATCTTCTGCAAACAGAAAGAATGTTTTTTTTTTTTCTTTTTTGTTAACGAGGCAGACGTCGGGGAAGTTAATAGAATTCTTGGAAAGCTAATTAAACCCGATTTCGTCGTGTACGAATTGCAATAATCTATTTTTAAAGTTCTTCGATGTAATAAGAAAGAAATGTTCTGGGTAATACTAGATTTGCAGTTATCGTTCGTGAACTACATCTACATTGTTATGACACGTAGTATCGCGTGTTACCGGTTTCCAAGTGCAACAACTGAGCACTTTCCAAGTGCTGGTACGTGATTTACGACTTGCTTAACAGTCAGGTTCGATAAGTTGAGCGATAGATTCGTTATTTACTACGAAGCAGAAAAACGTCTCGCTACGTGATCTGGCTGCCGGTTTCAAGGGCACAGTGTACTACGTTGCAATTTGTGGTTTTGCGGTTTGCCAGTTCCAGTTTTCTGATCGGTGGATCAATCATTCTCCATGAATTGCAATAGCATACTACCACGTGTTTCATGACTCACTATTAAAAGACGAATTTAAAATTCATATCTCTTAATTGCGACATTCAAATATTAAGAATAATCATAATTACTCGGTCTCTGTTATTAATATTTACTCGATGTTCTCTCAAGCGTAATGATTCATCGAACCGATTATTCCCGGGAAATTACGCGTTCCGTGACACTATCGTGTGTCAGCGATAAAATTTCGCGATAGGTCTCGTGTAAAAATGCGCTTGAAGAAACCGACTGAAATGCTGTTCGCGCGTAACGAGAGACGTTCCTTTGCGTTCCTGGAATAATCGTATCGCAGAAAGCGGAAAATGGAAGGCACAGGAGAGCGGTTGTTTAGCTCGATGAAAGAAGTAACGTGAGTTTAATGTTTTCGAGCGGTTCTACTAGCTTCCCTTGTGCATTCAAGCGCAGGAATTTCATGAACGATGATTCACTCGTTCCATGAAAATTTCAGTAAATCATCATTTTCGGAACATCACAGTAGCGATGGTTAATACTGTGTGAAAACAGTATAAGCGAAATAGGAACGCAATTAAAGTTGTCTAGTACTTGTAGGGAACTGAATAATTCCCCGCTGATAGTCGTGAGGGGTAGAGGCAATTACATTATTCCATTTCCGTTCGAGACAACTGTACAATAGATTCGGGGGACTTCCTCTCCTTTTTCTGTACATCACCTCCTATCTCTCTTCCCGCGTTACTAAGTGCCATTTCTAATTTTGGACTTTTGCGAGGCCAAGGTCACCTGCGTTTGTCAGGTCAGTCTACCTGGAGACGGCGGTCGCTTCAAATATTAACCTTAAAAGGATGGACCCCCTTGCTAATTAAACATTTCAATATACAACATTATCTTGGCAAATTCACTTTTTCAAAATTACCACTTATAATAATACAATAATTGTTACCTTTCCGTGAATTATTATTTTACATGTTTCATACTGTATTCATTACTATGAATCAAAGATTCGATTTCGAATAAGTAACTGATGCACACAGGCCCAGAGCTGATCCACGGATTCCTTTTGCCTTCTGAGCTCGTAAAAGGACAAACATAGCCATATTCGAGGGGGATAGATATTTTCAGTTCCGGGCTCGCAGAGAGTGGAGTGATAGGCGCCTGGGAAGGTGGAGGAGGAGAAGAAGAAGAAAAAGAAGGGTCATGCGTGAATGCACGCACGTGAGGCGTACCGTCTCATCGTGCGTGTGTGTTCTCTCGCGTGTATGCACACAGGTTCGAGAAAAGGGGGCTGAAATAGAACGTTTCCGAGGCGTGTCTGCCACCACACGGGTCCACGCGACTTGGTTTCGCCTCGTCTAAATACACGTGTGCCACGCTGCGCGGCGACGGCAGCGGCGGTGGTGGTTACCTTGGGAGTATTCGCTACCCTAACTGCCGCGCCACGACAGACGGGAGGGTAACGTGGAGGCGCCACGACGCCTAGACCGCCGACGCCTGGCGTCGCACGCAATGCGCGACTGGTGCCTCTCTCGCCTGGCCGTCGGGGACCGTGAAACACCACCACCACGCCATATTATCGAAGACCTCGACGCCGGCATTTACGCTGCTTCCTGGAAAAGCGGCGCGCAATGCCCCGCGACCCACGAATATTTCATCGGCATCGATTTGCCGCCCGCCTTTTCGATGTTATTACACAGGAGAAACGTACGCACGCCACGGCAAACGGTAGAAGTGGTCGTTACTTCGTAATGTGATGACCTCTTGGATAGTATAGTGGCTTATTATAGTTGCTCTGTTCGAATAGATATAAGTTGCAGTCCGAGTAACATCTATCATAGTTGATATGGCTAGTATGGGGACGTAATCGGGTGGTTGATGGACAGAGTATAGTAGTTGTGTAGCTAGAATACAGTTGTTATTAGTGAGGACATAGTAGTCGTACAATGAGCACAGTAACTTTATAGTTAAGACTATAGTAATTGTATAAGGAGAGCATAATAGTTGAATACCGAATGTATAGGTCGTACAGTGAGCACTGTAACCGTACAGTTGAGAGTGTAGTAGTTGTATAGCAAGGTCATAATAGTCGTATAGCGAGAATACAGTTACCTGGTGAGTACATATAGTAACCGTGGAATGAGCACGGTAACCCCATAGTGAGATTGTAGTAATTGTATAGCAAGGACACGATAGTCGTATAACGAATGTATAGTAGTTATACAGTGAAAGTATAGTTACCTTCCTATATATTATTATAATTATAGGAAAGTATATTGAAGTAATGGTTGATAATGAATGTAATAATAATTGTATGATAATACAGTAGCACAGACCAAGTGGTGTATTATCCACTGCTCGCTGTAATCATAATTATAGTTACCCACGATATGCAACTGTAATATTATGTTGTGTAGGAATACGTAGACGTGACACTGTCTACATAATAGTGAAATGTACTAAATGTATTTAGACAGGATGTGGTGATCCATTCACTCGACGACCGGTGTCAATTTTTATTCGCGCTATAGCGGCAATTACTGCACGTGTAATAATCCAATAGGTGGCTGGGTAATTTACTCGTTTGTCACGAATATTAAAAAAAATAATACGCACGTCACACCAGCAACCTATTATCGATCGTATCCGCGTTCATATGTCCTGTGCACCGGTTGTTTCTGTGAATTGCGTGCAAAAACCTGGTTGGTTATTTGATACAATGTGTGACAGTTTTTAATAAAAGTGGTTGTATATAATATTCGAAGAGTACCGTTCATATTTTTTAATGAATTCATTTGTAGAGTAACACGTGAACAGGTGTGTTGTAGTGTCTATTTGCAGCAGTAAAATTCACGAAGAATATTTTTGTCTGCTTTCAGTGGACTGAATTTCCAAGATCTGATGGCCAGACAGGGCGCTATCGATTCCCCGCCGAAAACTCCTTTTATTATGGGATCCGAGTGCGCAGGTGACATCGAGCAGGTCGGCGAGGGCGTAGAGAACTTTAAAGTAAGTGAACGAACGAGCGGAACCAGCGTTGGTTCAAGAAAACTTCCACGTCCATGCGATATTATGTATTCTTTTATTGCTAAACAATTTTCTAGACATTGGATTAAAAGCCCAGTTCTTTTTTTTTATATCATTACTATTTTTATAAGTCAAGAGGCATCCTCGTATAAACCCAACACACTTATCCATTGAACAGATTCTGTGTTAACCATCAATGCTTCAGAATTTTTGCTTACTGACGTCAACGAAGATGCTAGAAGGTTCCATAAAATCTTTCCAATGTTATCACATAAATTATCCTTCCTCCTAAAAGAAAAAAAAGGAGAAAAATTTTAAAATCGATTTAAGAACATGTTTATTTATAACTGTTATGTTTCTTATGGAATACCCTGTACATTTTTCTAACAAACCCGTAAAATATGCATGAAGATAGGACGAGGGGGTAAAGAGCCGCTCGATAATAAATGCAAATTATTGCTAAGAGACGATGGGCGCACTCTATTTTTTCCCCGCGTGCAACATAATATCCTCGAGGGTCCCCGATAGTTGTGTTCCTTTGTGGTAGCACGACTCTCATCGATTTTTCCACGGACGCCTTCAGGCGGGACCAACGTCTAATATTTTCCAGAGGTAGCCAACATCGTGGTGTTGCCCCCCGTGGAAAATATTGCGTCCACGGGAGAAAAGCGATGTCAAGCCAGCGGACATTATTATCCTGTCAAGTCGCGTCTCTTTGCCAAGGCTCCTCTCCCCTTCCGCTTCGAATACAGCAGCAGCATGTTTCTCTATAAAAGGTTACGTGTAGCGTGGTATCAGTGTCAGTTGTGGTTGCTAACCGTTTTTCACAGGGGAGAAAAAAGCAATATATTTTGGCAAAAGTGGATTATGGTGATTTGTTGCAGAAATTGAAGAAATATAAAACGAAGTTCATACGAGAATTTAGTTAGGTTAGGTAACTTAGTTATATAATTATGTGTTATATTCATTTCTTTTTTTTTTGTTTGTTTTATTAATTCATGCACGGTAAGAGAAAACAAACGAAACTAATGTTCTATGTATAACCGTACTCTTTGAAACATTGATTTCGGACTAAGGAAAATTGATAGCTATCCGCACCAAATTGATAGGTCCAGTTTTACTACTTCATCCGCGCTCGTAAAACCAACGGCTCTCCCAAAGATAGTCCAATAAAGTGTTCCTGTTGTCATCAATAGTTCAAAATCGACCTATATAAAACTATATTCCAGGCAAACATTTATTCACCACTTTATGAGTCCATGGTTAAAAATCGTCTTCGATCACTCTGTTTCCCGAATTACCGAAAAAAAAAAGTAGACAATAAATATTTTAAAATCGACTAAAAAATCACTGCTTGAATTGCAAAGAAAAAAATTCATAGAAACAGTGACTTAACCTTCAACCACCCTTCCTTCACATAAAACCCATCTTCATCGTCAAACGAGAGAGTACGATCTCGTTTTTGCATCGCAGACAGTGAACATTTTCAGGGCGATACGGCACATCGCCTGAAGGAAACTTCGTTCTCGAAATAGTCGTTCCGCGTTCGACCGTCGTCCTTGAATTTTTCACCCACTAATCTTTCCGCAAGGGTGGAGTTCCACGGTACTTTTCCGAGTCCGTGACTCGTAGACGCCGCAGGAAAACGGCTCTTTCTCTCTTTCTACTCGATCCTCCTCCCCGCCTTCTCGCTGTTCCCCCTACCGCGCTATATCTCTTAGGGTGGTCTATTTTCGCGACTCGCGAAACTCCTCGAGGTCACGAGGGGGGCAGAAGGAGGAGGAGGGAGGAGGCCAGGTTTAAGGCTTTAGGGTCAGATATCCGAGTAGCACGTGTAAACGACCGCCCAATATGTGTGTGCATATCGGGTATGTGCTTGGTAGTGCGTTTGTGTGTGTGTTGTATGCTACGTTTTCGAGATGGAATATTCGAGCTCCTTTCTCTCTGGTGAAACAGCGCCCTAACTGAGATCTTCCTTCCCTCTGGATCTCGTTTCCTCGAGTTCTTAGCATTGTTGCGTTTATATGTGGAGATGTACTCTTCTTTCTACCTCTCTCTCTCTCTCTCTCTCTCTCTCTCGATCTTTCTGTCGGTTTTATTCATTTATTCACTCCTTTATGGGATAATCTGCCGCGTCGCAGGGGTTCTCATTTGGAGATTGCTGATGATCCATGTTTGGAGAGTGTATATAGGTATATATGTGAAATATATTACTAGGTGTACTTCTACCTCTTTCTCTGGTAATCTGAAACAGTTTGGGATAGAGATCGGAACGGTTTAGGAGCTTTGCTATACGGGGTTGGATTTCGAGAGGGTGTGAATCGAGGGTGTTTCGAGACTTATATCGAAATTGTGGGGATCGAGACTCGATCCTTGTTACGTTCTATTTGAGATGAGGGATAAGGGACGATATCGTGTGGACGAAAAGTTACTACGAGGTTATGTCGTGAATTAAATTATTCGAACTGAAATGGGCAGACGTATTCGTTTGATATATTAATCAGAACAAAAAAATAAATTCTTCAGTTTATAATTAACAGTAAAGTAATATATTTAACATAACCTCTAACTTATTAATTGTTCAGTCCACTTTAAACTCGACATTTTCCAACTGTACCAAATTATGTACTATATGCATGGTACAGATGAAATAAATCTGTATTTATATAAATCGTAATAATAAAAAAGAAGTGGTGGTAATAGAGTTGATGCACAGGAAGCATTTGGCTACTTATTTTCAGGTGGGCGATCGAGTGGTCGCGCTTCCTGATCACAAGGCGTGGGCCGAGCTTGTCTCCGTGCCAGCCACGTCCGTTTTCGCGCTACCAGCTGGAATGAGCTACCTCGATGCCGCGGCGATCACGATGAACTACACCGTCGCTTACATTCTCCTATTCGATCTGGCCAATTTGACGCCTGGAAAAAGCCTCTTGCTTCACAGCGCCGGCGGTGGTGTGGTAAGTCTCTCCTTCTCTTTCTTCTACTTACGATATGTAGCAAAGATACAATTATCCTTTCGTATGGAAAGAGTTCTTCCCTCGCGAAGAACAATGTATGCACGCATGGAAGTATAAAATCATCGTGATTACAAAAGGAACGTGTAACGAAATCACGCTCTGGAAAATTGACTATCGTCGATTTAATTTTTACCTCCGTTAGAGGAGAATTATGCAGCAGTCGTAAAGTGGCGATCGTTTGCTGCTCGTTGATTGGAAAGATTGGCACACTCGATTAGACGATGTATTTTCTGCGTCGTTTATGCCCATTTATGTGTGTCCTACCGTTTCTTGTCGCGTGGAATTCTACGATAACCTGAAATATTTTTGCAAAGAAAAAAGAAAAATATACTACCATTACCAAATATTTCCATTTCAAAATCAAAAAGATCCTCTCACATTGACTGTGTCACATCCCCTCTGCTACCATTATTAAAATCCTCATCCCAAAAGCCTGACATCGTCCTCCCATTAACAGTTTCCATCCCCTAACCTCAAAAATGTCCGCTCGAAAAAAGGCATTCTCCCATCCATTTACACTTCCCTGAGAGAAAATCGTAAAAAAAACGAACTGGTAGGAGAGTAAGTCGGCCGGTAATTACGGGCGAACAAGAAAGATGGATATATGGAGAGCGACATCTCGTGCAAGGTTACTGCCCCTTCGCGAAGTCGACTCGAGTCACATCCGTGGAGCGCGCTTTCTCTCTCAATGTCGTCGAAGGTGAAGGGGAGCGGGCAGCAGGCAGCCGGGGGAGAGAACGTCGGGATCAATACGGCTCAACAGGTTACACTCGAAGCTAACTACATCGCCCCCGCGACTCCTCCCCCTCCCTCCCCA